TGTTTGTAAACTGACAGGACAAAAGATTGAGTAAGTTACAATAAAAAGATACAGGATGTTTCACTTGAAAAAACTGAAACATCGATATTTGAAAAACTGTATAATTCCAGATTTTTTATAAACACTCTGTGTATTAAAATTTGTTTTCGTTGATACCATAACACAGCGCGTATCATTCTTTGTCCTTCCACAAAATATTGTGAGACAGACTTTAAAAGGAAGTATGATTTTTTTGTGAACCCTTTCATTGTCAAAAAAATTGATGAAAATTGGAATAACGTGACAACATCGCATTGGAATTTCAAAAGTAAACTGTTGTTATAAAGGCTAAGAAAAGAACAATCAAAATATATAAAGATACATAGGATGTTTCATTTAAAGAAACTAAGTTGTGTGTTATGTCTTAAAAGTAAAACACTCTGTATACTCAAAAATAATTTTAGAGTATAGTCCTTAAAAAACCGTACAACTTTGATGAACTGACTTTTTTTATCTCTAATAAGTAAAAAGATATTGAAGACAACGCGCTTAATGACTCACCCTGTATAATAATAATTGCAATATAATTTTTAAATTGTTTCGATTTTTGAATTATTAGATTTTAAAAGTTTTATTTATCCGATTTTTCAAATTTTCTACTTTTAATTTTTGAATTTTTCGATATTTAATCTTTCAGTGTTATAGTTTGTCGATTTTACTTTTTTTGGGTTTTCCAATTTCTCAATTCGATTCGTTTTTTCTTCTTTCCAAATTTTTGGATTTTTAAGTTTCTCGATTTTTTGCTTTTCAATGTTCCAATTTTTCGTTTCTTCAGCTCTTCGGTTTGCAATTTTTCGATGTTCCACTTTTTCAATTTTTGAAATTTCTCATTTTTTCAGCTTTTATGTATTTCACTATTTTCCAATTATTTAGTTTCTCGATTTTTAATCTTCAGACTTTTCAATTTTTCGTTTTTTCATCTTTTCGAATCAAGAAAATGGAAAATTTGCAAAACTGTAAAACTGAAAATTCAAAAATGAAAAAACGAAAAATCTAAAAATTAAAAATCAAGGACTTGAAAAATTGAAGAAATGAAAAATTGAAAAATCGAAAGTTTAAATTGGGAAATCAAAAAAGTATAAAATCGAAAAAACGAAATATATTAAAATCAAAATATTGAAATCGGAAAATCGAGAAATCCAAAAATTGTAAAACTGAAAAATTTTAAAATGGGAAAATCGAGGAATTGAAAAATTTTAAATTTATCGAATCTCCATTTTATTCCGATTTCGTTGTTTTTCAATTTTTATGTTTTTAGTTTTTCAACTTTTCGAATCAAAAATATGGAAAAATTACAAAATTGTAAAATTGAAAATTTAAAAATGAAAAACGAAAACGTTTAAAATGAAATCTTTGAAAAATGTAAAAACTAAACATCAAAGACTTGAAAAATTGAAGAAATGAAAATTTGAAAAATCGAATGATTAAAAATTGGGAAACTTAAAAATCGAAAAAACGAAATATATTAAAATCAAAATATTGAATACAAAAGAAATTGGAAAATCGAGAAATCCAAAAGTGACAAAATTGAAAAATTTAAAAATTGGAAAATCGAGGAATCGAAAAATTTTGAGTATATCGAATTTCGATGTTTTTCCGATTTCGTAGTTTTTCAATTTTTATGTTTTCAGTTTTCCAACTTTTCGAATTAAAAAAATAATGGAAAAATTACAAAACTGTAAAATTGAAGATCCAAAAATGAAAAACGAAAACGTTTAAAATGAAAACTTTGAAAAATCTAAAAATTAAACATCAAAGACTTGAAAAATTGAAGAAATGAAAATTTGAAAAATCGAATGATTAAAAATTGGGAAACTTAAAAATCGAAAAAACGAAATATATTAAAATCAAAATATTGAATATAAAAGAAATTGGAAAATCGAGAAACCCAAAAATGGCAAAATTGAAAAATTTAAAAATTGGAAAATCGAGGAATCGAAAAATTTTGAGTATATCGAATTTCGATGTTTTTCCAATTTCGTAGTTTTTCAATTTTTATGTTTTCAGTTTTCCAACTTTTCGAATTAAAAAAAAAATGGAAAAATTACAAAACTGTAAAATTGAAGGTTCAAAAATTAAAACACGAAAAAGTAGGAAATGAAAACTATATCTAAATCTAAAAATTAAAAATCAAGAACTTGAAAAATTGAAGAAATGAAAAATGGAAAAATCGAAATATCTACATTAAAATCAAAATATTGAAAGTCAAAAATATCGGAAAATCGGATAATTAAGAACTCCAAAAAGTGCAAGATTGCAAAATTTTAAAATTGTATAAACGAGGAATTGAAAAACCCCAGATTGAAAATTTCAAAAATTGAATTAACGAAATACTATAAAATCGAAAGAACAACAAACAAAACATCAAATGAACGAAATGAAAAAACAAAAAATTGTGATATAAAATCCAGGAAATGAAACTTAAGAAAATCGGGAAAATGAAAAATCAAAATTAAGAACTTGAAAAATTGAAAAAACGAAAAATTGAAAAACCGAAAAATTAAAAATTGAGAAACTGAAAAATCGGAAAGTGAATAACTCTAATATGGACAAATTGCAAAATGCAAAGTTGCAAAGCAAAAAATTGCAGAAATGAAAAATTTTGAGTTTATCGAATTTTAATTTTTTCCTATTTCGTAGTTTTTCGATTTTTAATTTTTCGATTTTTCAGCTTTTCGAATCAAAAAAATGGAAACATTGCAAAACTGTAAAATTCAAAAGTCAACAATGGAAAAACGAAAAAGTTGAAATGAAAACTTTGAAAAATCTAAAAAGTAAAAATCAAGAACTTGAAAAATTGAAACATCGAAATACCTATATAAAATCAAAATATTGAAAATTTAAAAAATCGGAAAATCGGATAATTAAGAAATCCAAAAAGTGCAAGATTGCAAAATTTTAAAATTGTATAAACGAGGAATTGAAAAATCCCAGACTGAAAATTAAAAAAATTCAAGTAACGAAATACTATAAAATCGACAGAACAACAAACAAAACATCAAATAAACGAAATGAAAAGCCAAAAAATATCAATCCAGGAAATGAAAATTAAAAAAATCGGGAAAATAAAAAATAAAAATTAAGAACTTGAAAAAGTGAATAAACGAAAAATTTTGAGTTTATCGAATTTTCATTTTTTCCTATTTCGTAATTTTTCGATTTTTCAGCTTTTTGAATCAAAAAAATGTAAAAATTGCAAAACTGTAAAGTCAAAAATGGAAAAACCAAAAAGTTTAAATGAAAACTTTGAAAAATCTAAAAATTAAAAATCAAGAACTTGAAAAATTGACAAAATGAGAAATTGAAACATCGAAAGATTAAAAATTGAGGAATTTAAAAATCGAAAATGTGCAGAATCGATGAAACGAAATACCTACATATTAAAATCAAAATATTGAAAATAAAAAAAATCGGAAAGTCGGATAAATGAGAGATCCAAAAATTGCAAAATTGAAAAATGTAAGAATTGGATAAAAAAGGAATTGAAGAATCTAAGATTGAAAATTTGAAAAATTGAGTTAACGAAATACTATAAAATTGAAAGAAGCATTGAAAAAAATAAATTAAATAAATGAACAAAAAATTGTCATATAAAATCCAGAAAATGCAAAATAAAAATTAAAAATTTGAAAAAGTGACGAAATAGAAAAATCCGAAAATGAAAAAATTGCAAATCGACAAGTTGAAGAAACGAAAAATTCAATAATTTAGAAGTCGGGAAATTAAAAAAAATAAAAATTAAAGTTGGAAAAACGAAAAATTGTGATAGAAAAATTATAAAATCGAAGAAAAAGGAAAACCGAGATATTGTAAATTTAATTTTTTTATGCTAGACCTTATAAGTTAAAATAAAGATACATATGTATGTAACATTAAAGTAAATGTAACGAAGCGTGTTTGCTACAAGATAATTTTTCTATTTTAATTTAATTTTTTGCATCTCTCTGTATAAATAATTCTAAAATCTGTTCATAAACCATAATTATACAGTCATAATATTCGACGACGTCATCGTCTTGTTGCTGGGGATGTTTATCCAAATTTATCTACACTCATAAAATTTGACAACAATTGATCCAGCAATTTCGGAGATTATGTATCTAATAAGAATTCGGACAGACGGCAGACAGACAGACAGACGGATAGACTTAAGCTCAAAAACTAAAAAACTAACGTGTTAGATGGGAAGTAAGTTATTATTCAACCGCATTAAAACATTTTTTCCAAAGTGCACAGAAAAATTTTTGTTGTATTTTAGACGGATGAAATACCGGCACACACGAAAATCACAATAAATCAAACGCCTGAATTATCGAAAACATCAAAAGGCGATAAATTTTCCAATTTATTTACATCGTTCTAAATTTAAGTGTTCATTTTATTTTAACTCTTGTATAGCAATTTCTTGTAATAAGAAATTACGGGACGACCTGGCGTCTACGCAGACAATAAAGTTTCAACAAAATATTTATTAAAATATCTTTGCTTTATAAAGTAACATAAAACCGTATTTTCATTCACGAAAAAAGTATGCTTTCAGACAGCTCGTAATAAAATATAAAAGTTTATTTTAATAATAGTACTCAGACATTTTATGCCATTATTTTAGTCACAGTATGCACGAACAATTTCATTCATATCGCAGAAACGTGTGTAGGTCTCGCTGAAACATTTGTAGAAACGTTCCTCAAAAATATTGCACCCAAATCTAAATAAAATAAATTATTCCACATCCGACAGTTCGTTTGAAAGGAAAAACAGCTGCTTGAAACCAATACTCCCAGTTATTTTTTATATAAAATTCCCACTCATCCAAGCTACACCGACTCGTGCAAACAAACATTAATCCAAAAAAAATTCCCCATAATTCACTTCGGATCCGACTGCGTTTATAATTAAAAAGAAAAAATGATCTCAACATTGTCGAACCTGAATTATTCAACGAAATACAAACGACTTACTTTTGAGTAGCCTTAATCTTTTGCGCAGAGCCTGTTGTTTTGTTAAGTTCCAGAATATCCATCCATGAGATTTACACGAATCTGTAAAGGAAAAAATGCAATTAAATTTTATTGGAACGAGCACAATGAAATCAACATCAAAGCGTTCTGCCGTTGAAAAGAAAAAAGCTCGGTCCTCGCAAGATCGATATCGAAATGAATTTTGACTTAACAGCCGAGCGCTCGGAGTTACAGATGCTTGCTTATAATCAGCGATTTGGCGTCGCACCAAATATTTAGCGCTCCTCTAGGTCGAATTTCTCTTAATTGACAGTTTTTCAGCGGTGACGCGCGTTTCGGGATTATTAAAAAAACATTTTAACACCGGCATGTTGTTGTTGATGCAAAATAATGATCCAATGACGAGGTGGAATGTAATTATGTAGTTTTCGGATAACGAACTGTCAGAGCTGTGAGCTTTTAACGAAGAGTGGATGAGTATGTTGGAGAGAGAACGTCAACTCGCGACGTGGGGGAATTAGTATATTAAAGTTATATAGCGTGGTCATCACACACAATTTTTTAATTTTGAAATGCTATCTGCTACTGCGAGTTCGATCAGACCAACGCCATCGTTAATACAGTGTCTGTTAATAAAAAAATGCTAAAAAAATTAAAAGAGAATGTTCGGTCTGCACCAATTTTAACACGATTTTATTGATATATCATCAATAGCCGTCAAAAATTACGTAAAATTTGGCCTAGAACATGTTTTTTTCATAAAAATTTTAATACAGGTGCAGCAATTTAGAAAAAAATGGTCGATGGTTACTTCGACAGAACTTCAAGAAATCCCGCTTCTCTGAAAAATTATTCAAAATTTTGTTTTTCGATAACCTTTATATACTTAGTAAAAACTAGTGGTGTAAATGACACCTGGAACCCCGTGCGCAAATCCCAAGGGGGTGCCGTTCGCAGACATATGGACAATATGAAATATATTTTAACCAATAACTAACGGAAAAGAGTACATTATTATCAGTGTACATGCTTAAGTTTGATTATTTATGTTTATAAATCGAAAAAATGTCACATAGAAATTTGTTTATGTTACGTTTTCACTCGTATTTTGACTTGTTTGAACATCACTCAGAGGAAGTTAGTTGCGAACTGTTTCATTATTAAAAATGTATTGCACGGTACTGCGCATGTGTGAAACCCATAAACTTACTAATTAATAGATACACCACAGTTTGATTCGAACGAGTTTTGTCTCCTCAAAGGAGAGGACAAAAATGATTAATTAACCCACAATGGAACAAAATATTTTGAATATGATTATTATTAATCTCTTAGTTGATCATAATTAAATAAAGACGTGGATATTCTCACATTTTCTAGAAAATGAGGTTTTTAATTTGATCAATAAAATTGCACATAGACACAACTAACGAGATAAAATGTCCTTCAGGATTAGGTAATATCAATCTGAAGTGTTTATTTATGTTGATATTATGAAAGAATGTTTTTTTTACTTGAATGAGTTTGTCTTTTCAAAACAGAGAACTAAAATTATCAATTAAACCACAACCGAACAAAATATGAATGGAATGATAAATCACATGTACAGACTCATCATATTTTGTACATTTTAGATAGGATTTATTTGGCAAACTTTTGAGCTGACGTGATCAATTTTTTGAAGGGAATAAGTAAATATATTTTGATTAAAAATGTATCATTTTTATCATTACTGTGAACCATCTACAAGATTTCAAAGCATTCGATTTAGTAGATTCCAAATTAAATTGCAAATTGTTGTTTCAAAATTTAGATTTTTTTCCAAAAATCTGGACGTTTCGGGTAAAAATTCAACTCGGAGTCATAAACTATATATGTAGGATTATTTTATACATTTTAAAAGCCATTTGCTATGTACAATTTTGTAGTGACGTCATTACATTGGTGGTGGTCCAGCAGTTTCGGAGATTACGTGTGTAATAAAAATAGATACAGTCAGGCAGACGGACGGAAACGGGAGACTACTTTTTTCGTACAGTAGGGGTCATGAAACGTCGAAAAAACATAAAAGTGGCAATTCGTCCAATAGACTCGATTGCTCTGCTTTCTTAGCTAATGCTCGGGAAGTAAAAAGAATACAAACGAAAACAGAAAAATAAGAACTATCATTAGTTGTGTGTTGATAGAAAAATTAAATAAAAGTTAATAACAATTGTAAAAATAACACATTCACGGTTAACCAGAACTCATTGAAATTGGAAAAGTATGGAAAAAATGAAAACTATAACGGGCACAAGTTTTTTTGCTAATTTTGTTCAAGATGTTTGCATTTTTCTGAAAGAATGAAATTTGAAAATTCACAGGTCCACCGTTTTTAAAGATGGAGTCTTGCGAACGAATTTCTTGAATCTGGAAAGGCGAAAATGTGGAAAATCGTCTCCTTTTCGGAAATAAGTCGATTCTGTATATCGCAAGTACGTCGTGGCGATCAGAATCGTCAAAACAAGTCGAAATATACTTGGACAAAAATAAGATTTCTAAGTAGCTAAAATTTGATAGATTTCTTGGTGTTTGGGGCTTGTCGGGTGTCGGAAACGCTAGAAAAGGCAGACAAAAGCTTGAAAAGTACTTAACATTTCTTAAATTTTTTAACGAATTTCTTGAATCTATAATTCTGTACATCGCAAATGCGTTATGACAATCAGAATCAAGTCTAGGCGAAGAGACCACTTTCACATCACGGGGTTGGCGCCTTTTACAGGAGCGGTTGCTCGGGCGCCAACCCTCTCTCCGAAAAGGGGACACTTGGGGGTAGTCTAGCTGGAAAAATGGATCTCCAGTGGTGTCTTGAACGACTGTTGCAGCAATAATCCTCTAGTTAACTTAAAACTATTATTTCTTTGCTTTTATTTCTTGGCATGCTACAATGCTAAATAAGAAAACTATCGGATTAAAAAGCAAATTTCGGCAAACGCCGTCCTGTGATAGACAGATACAGCAAAATGATCAGGGGATGTCATCAATTTGTTGATGAGGATGTTTAGACAAATTTTGGTTAGCGCTTTTCCATCTACACGATATTTCTAATAAACATTATAAAATTTGACAGTAATCGATTTGGTAGTTAAAATAAAAATCGACACGGATTATAGACAGACGGAATGCCAAAGTTACTTTTTCAAACTCTTCGCATTACGAAACGTCGAGAAACCATGACAGTAGACATTCGTCCGATGGACTCTAATACAATACCTCCTTAGTTCGAGAAATAAAAATTGAACAATGTTTAGACTTGTTTATGCAGTATGACTAATTTATAAATTGTCAGTTTTTGCTAATTATTCAAATGTGACACACTGCATTTTATATTTTCAAACTTGTATCTCAGATTGCAAAGGCTTGCCTAGGTTAAGCTCAACAGTGGTAAAAAATTGGTCAAAGGTTATTTCGACAGGACTTTTCTTGCTCCTGAAGTACAACCCAACAAATCTCGTATTAAAGCTAAATGACGTCGCACAAATATGTTTTGACATCCTATAATTTTTTTTTGTTTGTCTACGACATACAACTTTTTTTTAATGACACTCTATATATTTTTACTTTCCGAACGTAAGCGAAGGAAGTACAATATAACCTCTATAATCCGAACCCACGATTATCCGAACATCCAGTAATCCGAACAGAGGCTAATTGAAGTTGATATCTCTTTAATCCGAACAAAAAAAATGATGCAAGATCTTCTTTCTGTACGTGTTTTATTGAATTTTGTGAAATTTTTAAAAATTGTGATTGAGATTTCAATGCACTGAATTAATGAACTAATTGTGGAAAAAAGGTTGAAATTTATGGAAGAAATGAGGCCGGAAGTGACTTTTGCGCCCCGAAATCTACAAGAAAAAGTACTTCGTTAAATTTTAAAAATCGTCGAAAATGGGTCAACATTTGCCACTACTTGCTAAATAACCTACTCTCTAAGAAAATAAAAGGCGGATGGGGAAGGCTAGTATTTACCAAAATATGACTCATTTTGACAAATGACCTACTCTTCTAAGAAAAGGTAATAGCCCCGCCCACCCACCCTTTATTTTCTTAGAAGAGTCATCTGCCACAATCAGTCTTGTTTTAGCAAATACTAGCCCCGCCCACCCACCCACCCTTATTTTTTTGAGGAAATGTCATTTGCAAAAATCAGTCTCATACTTGCCAAGATAAGACTGATTTTGACAGATGACCTATTCTTTATTTTCTTGGAAGAGTAGGTTATTGGCCAAAATGAGTCTTATTTTGGCAAATACTAGCCCCACCCACCTGCCCTTTGTTTTCTTAGAGAGTAGAGATTTTTCAGCTTTCGAACTTTTCAATTTCTCGCTTTTTAAATTTAAAATTTTTTGATCTATCTTTCAGTTATTGATTTCTCTGGGCAACTGAAAAAAACTTTCGACTTTTTAATGTTATAATTTTGGCAGTTTTCCTATTTCTCAATTGTTTGATTTTTAAAAACATCGAAAATGTTTTTTTTTTTTTATTTTCCTTTTTGATTTTTTGTCACCGGGGTTTTGGAAGCTAGTAAAAAGTAATTTTGATTAGCAATCTGCCATGTTTACCGTAACTTTAAAACATCTGAAAATTTTGTTTCTAATTTTCAATTTTTCGATTTTTTGATTTTCAAAATTTCGGTTCGAATAAATTTGTTCTTTTAGTTAAGAAATCGAAAAATGACATCGTGAAAATGAAAAATTTTAACTTGAGAAATTGAAAAATTAAAATCAAAATATTTCAAAATTGTAAAGTTGAAACTCGAAATATCAAAATATTGGAATTAAAAACTGCAAAATTTTCAAACAAATTATCAAATGAAATATTTAAAAGTTGAAAAAGTTAAAACCTAAAAAAAAATAATTTCGAATTCGATTTTATAAGATTTGTTTCTTTTTTCAATTGTTCGATATTTCAGTTTTTGATTTTCCAATTATAGAGTTGTACAATTTTCCGATTTCTCATTTATCCGATTTTTCAATTTGTAATTTTTTTTATTTTTAGCAAGTACTGCCCCACCTACGCAGCCTTTATTTACTTAGAAG